CAAACCACAGTTTTGAAAATCTCAGTGTAACTATTTCATTATTATTGTGTCCAAAAACACGGAACAACGAGCCCTTATGTACACCCTTCTTTCGCTTTTATATACATATATATATATATATATATATATATATATATATATATATATATATATATATATATATATATACATATATATATATATATATATATATATATATATATATATAGATATATATATAAAGGAAAGAAGTGTATACCTATGGGATCGTTTTCGCGTGTTTTGACACAGTAATAATGAGATCTAACAGACACTGATGCCAAGGAATGTATAGGGGAAGTTATTAGAACCAATGTAATGTGAATAAGAAGAAAGAAAAAGGGGTGAAAAATAAGTTTCCGTGAGCAGGAGTCGAACCTACGACCTCCAAATATTGCGAATGCGTTATTCGCAGGTCGTAGGTTTGATTGCTGCTCACGGCGTTGTAGACAATGATACGCATATTTATTTTCCATCAGTTTCGGGAGAAGTCCTCCTTTCGCCAGGTGATGAGTTAAACTAACGTCGACGTTCAAACTAGTTTACTGCCACGTCTCTCTCGCTTTGAAAGATATTTGCGAGAGTAATAGAAAATTAGGAAAACAAAAAACAGAAAATGAAAGAATAAAAACGATGGTATATAACATTTTGAAAGACCACAGGAATAAACATCTGTAGGGCATTCTTCTCAGAGCAAAACAAACTCTTCTAAAAAGTCAGGGTGAAAAAAACTCATTCCAAGATATGCCCTTAGCTGATCACAATGCGTAAATCACAAGCACATTTCTCTAATTTCGTTGTCAGCATAACTGAAAACCTCAACTGTGACTCCAGTATCGTGACATACCTGCTACATTAATACGTCTGTGGGCAAGAATAGATAGGCCAAACAAACACGCCATTGCGACTGCGGTTCAATACTCACCGGTATCACGCCACTTCAGTGCCGGTCCTATCTTTGTCTAGACATCTGCGCCTGCCAAACCTCCGTTAAAAAATATCACCATAACTTTTTTACAGTCTGGTTTCCGAAACAGGTACAAGCGCTAAAAGCTTGATGCATATTTTATTATCAAATACAAAACATTAGTAGCCGCCATCAACGACAACCCTGAACAACCCTCCTGCCTCCGGAAAGGAAGCCAGAAGGAAATTGGCGACAACAATTCATAACTGGAGACCATGCTTGTTTTCTGACTGACTCATACATGTACAGTGTCTTTTCTTGTTGCTTATTTTTTTTTTTCATATGTAAGTACAATCTGAAGTGCTTGCGCCCCCCTACTAATTGAAAGCCATTGACAAGACATGGGTGGAGATGAAAGGTGAAAAGCCTACCCATTAAGGGGAAACTCTTCCCTCACGTGCGGCGGCCGAAGCTCTTTTCGGCTACAGTGGCGACCATTCTGGGAGGTCCACCACACGTCGAGAGCCGGCCAACACAGGCTCAGAACCAGATGTGGACTTCCAACGACTTTTGGCTGTGCACAGTTTAGTTTTGTAGTTACCGTTCTTCCTGGTTATTAAAAAAAAAATTGTGGCATCAATTTTTTTCTTTTTTTCTTCTTTTTTCGGCTTTCTTAACTTCTTCTCACTCTCGCATATATCTTTTCGGGTGAGAGTGACGCGGCAGCAAACAAGTTTGAACGTCGACGTTACTTTAACCCAACCCTTGATAAAGGAGAGAACTCTCGTGAAACTGTCAATAAATTAATATATGTATCAATGTTGACAACGCTACCGGTGTGTTATAAGCAATGTCTTAACAATAAATGTATATATTTATTTCAGGCTTGAATATATACTTCATTTTTTTCGTAGCCGCTGCTTGCGCATGATCCCAGAGGAAAAGTAGAAAAAGGCCAAGATGTGAAGGCGTGTAGTTCGGCTCTTCACTTGACTATCATCTCCTTCTTCGAAAACATTTTGCCTTTCTGCATCCCTACAGCAGAGTTTACTGCAGACAAATATCGCTACGCGGAAAACTTCTTTGGTTTTAAACAAAACCTTTTCGGGCGGTTGCTCAGCAACGAGTTATTGTTGAAGTGAATTCATTAACGTGAATTATGTTGGCGCACCTGCCAGTCACTCCTATATCAATCCCCCTCCACATTACATACCAGAGGTGAAACTGACAAAACTCTTTTTCAGAAGACTTTCACCATTGGCCAGACGCATTCTCTAGGAATAAGCCGGACATCAGAATCCACTGGTGTCCGGCTTACAAACATTTGTTGCCTAAGACGTCGCTCTGAATGTGGATACAAATATTTCTAGCGGAATGCTACACATCTCAAGGATTAAATCGAAGAAAGTCAAATAACTCGAAGATCACGCTGTTGCAAAGAATTCCTATGCGGTGTCAGTATTGGGGATGAAACTTGGGCTAGTTGAAATCATGTTTCCGACCTAATGCTAGCTCAAGTTTCTACATGAGCGAAACATACAACTCACTCGATGCTCAGAACCTTGACACAAAAGAGACACACTAGTTCTCATTACTCCTACTTGCCTTTTCCCCTAGTTTTCGGCTACCATAAAAGCTAGAGGCGCAGTTTTTGTGTTTTATTCATAAGAAAAGCATCAATCATTGATGAGAGACAGTAAGGAAGAACTTACTCACTCGCCGACTTTTTTAGAATTTTTTTACGAAACGTTTGAAATATTCGTCTATAAGCCTGCTTCCCGCTATGTGTCAGTTCTGTGGTGCTATTTCCTTTCGTTACTTCACAACATCTGTTGTTATGAGCCGTAGAGAGAGAAAGAGAGAAAGAAGCAACGAAAGGTTGGGAGGTTAACTAGACTACGTTCACATTGCTTCCCTGCTAGCGGGGAAAGAGGAATCAGGGAGCAAAAAAAATAGAAAGCGAGAAGTGTAGATGAACATTGCACAACACACAGCGTACGTAATAAAAGGTGTAATCAAATTTTGCGCGTTGCACATTTCCGTGCGAAGGACAATGCGTGTGCAGAAACTTTTCGTTTTAAAGCATGGTCCACAGCTGTAATACCTTCCTCTTCCTCTTTCTTTAGCTACCATATTATGTTATACCTCGGGGAGGAGTGGCCGATCGTTCAATTGTCGCAATGCATTCGAAAGCTTCTGTCTTTCAGAGGCAAATAGAGATGCTACTGGAACACCGTCCTCGCTTTTCGTTGGCTCAAAAAAGCAGTCAAAGCTGTGTTGTGCTTTTTGAGAACTACAGGCTTACGTGACCACCTTTAACTTTTATGTAGTGCCTCACTGCATACGCGTCAGCCCATTGACTGACAATCCTTTTTTTTCTCTCTTTCTCTTTTCTTTCCTCTCTCTCTCGTATTTGCGCCCCCTTCCTATTCCCCCAGTGTAGAGTAGCAAGCCAGGCATGTGCCTGGTTAGCCTCCCTGTCTTCTCTATTGTTGTTCATCTCTCTCACACACAATGATGAGTGGCAGCTCACACGCTTTTCATGTCAACCTCTGCTTCTTTCTCTTAATTACTATTGTTTTCTCGAGACAAAAAACTTGTGCTTTTCAAAATCCTACAATACGTAACACTTTCAAAAAGCTCACACTCAAGATACGTTTCACTAGCAAACCAAGAGACGTAATTAGCATATCTTAAGCGGAGTGTTTGTGAACCGATTTCAGCCTATAACAGAAACCTCAAGGAGTTCCTTGTGCTTCTATATATGCGCCATCAAAATAAACTGTGCAATACTATGCTCAGTAATCAAAACGTTCAAGCTCAGAAAAACTTGGCTACTGATGAGTTCCGCGCTGTTGTTGACCATTCATGCAGCGTGATGTCATCCATTGGGGTCGGATAAGAACAAGAAACACCGTCCAAAATTTAAAAAAGCTTTGAAACGTTTACAGAGTTTTTATTGAGGTCGAAGTCTATTCTTCTTTTTCAATGCCTCCTTTCGACACCACAGGAATAGGCCAAACGTTAGATTTCATCTAGTGGGGTATACGACAAATGTTAGAGTTATTTTGACTCATTTCTGAATGAATCAACATATCTACGATCCATCACAAAAGATTCTCCGATGGTGGCGTTTCTTGCTGAGCACAAAACATTGGTGTTTCATCTCATAGTTTCAAGACGGCGTATCTTAAGTATTTCATGCTGGAAATACAATAACATCTATTTCATGTTTTCTCTATATGTATATAGAATGTGAGGCTTGAATTTAAATTTGTGCTAGACACAGGCTACTTCAACAATGCACAATTGCATCTTGGTATTTGAAAGCTTGGCACTTGCAACCTGCACCCTAGAAAATTAGAAGTTAAATTGGTGGACTTTATTACTAGCCACCGGTACATAGCTGTTCGTCATCGAGGTATGGTGACTTCTACGGTAGATCAATGGGAACTGCTGTGTAAATTCTGCACTATATTCTCTTTCACTGTTCAATATTGATCAAACGAAAGATATAATTACAGTCATGTATAAAACTTTTTAACTGACTACTACAAGAAATAAATATTACTTACAGTAGAAATAAATATTACTTATATTCGAAATGTGCTTAGCTCCTGGGTCAATGAAGACATCTTGTTCGTGTAACAAACTCAATTATGAAACACCGCTTATTGCTGAAGACATTCTGATGTTATCATCTGCTTTAGAGAGCCTAAATGAAGCTATCTATATCAAACAAAAAGCTACATCTTTTGTTTCGCATGGCTGAAGATTGCTTGTGTGGGTATGATAATGTTGAGTGCTTTGATTTGCGAATGCATGTAGTTTCTGCCTATTTGAGTTTTTTTGTTGTGCAAATACCCTATTTTATCGTCTACGCAAGTCTAGTGCAGTGCTCACGCTTTATTTTTGCAAACTTATTCATTGAATGTAGCGACAGGATCATTTCAAGGGTGTTATTATTCAAGAAGTGTTTCTACAAAATAAATATCTAACCTTTTTCGATAATTTCCGTAGTCTAAAAATTGTCGCTCTTAATTATGAGCCTGTTTAATACGTGGAAATAAAGAAATGATATTCAGAAAAGGTTGTGCATTTTATTGAAATCTTTCTTCTTGCAATGACAGAACTGCCAAGCACTGGGGTGTGATGACAAAAGGAGACGAAGCTTGAACTGCTGAAAAAAAAAATAGAACACATCGTAAGTTGGAACTAGGCATGACGCATATGTGCTTTTTTTAAATTTACACCCTAAAGCAAATACGTAATGTACCCACAATTGTAGGAAAGCTCAGCTCAGAGAAATTATTTTAGCTTCTTTAGAGACTTATGATAGAGCAAGTTGGTAGAACAGACCGGGTACTGTCCTAGGAGATGGTACAATTTCAGTGGTTTTTGAAAATAGATGCCATGAAGTACGAGTATATCATGGCTGTTTCAAAATTGTTCGAGTAACGGAAATATAAAATTCAAATTGAATAGGTCGTGCAATGCAATTCATACTTTATTCAATTGTTTGGTATTAGAAGTTACGGACTCTGTACTTTTTGATGATTGATTGATTTGTGGGGTTTAACGTCCCAAAACCACCATATGATTATGAGAGACGCCGTAGTGCAGGGCTCCGGAAATTTTGACCACCTGGGGTTCTTTAACGTGCACCCAAATCTGAGCACACGGGCCTCGACATTTCCGCCTCCATTGGAAATGCAGCCGCCGCAGCCGGGATTTGAACCCGCGACCTGCGGGTCAGCAGCCGAGTACCTTAGCCACTAGACCACCGCGGCGGGGCACTCTGTACTTTTTCCCAACCTAAAGAAATTACAAAATTTATGAGACATTTTTTAGGACGCAGAACAATCGATGTGCTTATGAATAAGCACCAGTGCCACCCAATAAGCAACAATTCTAAACTGCAAACACCTTTAGAAATTTAACCTCAAGAGCCTAAATAACAGAGCTGTGCCTTCGCATTCGTTGCTTGCTGTAAGGCGTCAAGATCTCCAGCGTTGCTGTAGAAGAATCTTACTGTCTCCGGCTATTACGAATCACATGAACGTCAGGACAAATTTTAGCGAAAATGTCTCAAGTGCTCTACACTAAACAAATATCATGTTCACAGGTCCGCTAAATAAATAATTAAAAACACTACAGACCGGAGCTCTCAGCCGACAACGCCGACACCCGCGTGGCCGACACCGGTAGTATGGCCGTGAGACGACTGCCCGAATCCAGCCTGATGTCCAGCGGCACCTCCCTGGAAACCCGCAGATCCCTGCTGTTGGCCTGCTCCAAAGGTCTTGCTATCGGAAGCTGAGAAGCCGGTCTTGTGGTCGTAGCCCTTGTTGTTGCTGAAGGCGTTAACAGTCCTGTGAGCTGAACCCCCTGTGAAGGCTCCGGATCCTTGCTGGTGTCCAGCAGCGCCTCTCTGGAAGCCCGCCTGCTGTGCTCCAGTGCTTGTACCAAAACCTGTCTGGAAGCCGCCTCCGTGGCCAACGCCAACTCCGCCCAAGCCGACACCGGGGCCGACACCGTGGCCGACACCAACTGCTCCCAAGCCGACGCCGTGGCCGACGCCGTGGCCGACGCCGTGGCCGACACCGGCTCCTACCAGTGCGGGGTTGGCGACAACTCCAGGACCAACGACACCGGGGCTGCCTACGACACCAGGAACCACGCCGACACCAAAGCCGGGTCCGCCTCCCAAAAATCCGCCACGTCCTTCGACGTCCTTCTTATCTTCCTTCTTCTCAACTTTCTTGGCATCCTCTTCGGCAAACGCAGCACTTGCCACGAGTGCAAGGAGAGTGACTGTTGCGAAAAACTGCGTTGCCAGAACAGAATTAGTTATACATATATGTTTTCCTGTACCGTGCGCAAAGCATTACAGAAGTGCACTATAATGACAACATGGCATGTACACGTCTACTAAGTTTCTGTAAGGGCTTCTCTTAGCATTTAGACTATTATCCCATAGAACGTATGTCCTAAAGCATCATTCCCTGAAAAGCTTTCTCTCCAAATGCTAGCTGAACTCAATAGCGCTTCGATGGCTTTTCATCGACGACACTCTCTAATTCAGCACTCCTAGTCTTGGTAGGAATATCTAAACTACTCAAAAGTTTGGGAAAATGCAGCCACCCGTTTGGTGGTAGCTCCTCCTTAAACACCACTGAAGCTCTACGTACCCGGATTTGCATTAACAAAAAACTGTTAGGCCATATTTTTGTAACAGCTAATTGTGGTCAATTGTCATGCCTTATATACTATCGAAAGCATTGAATATATGGAAAGGAACTCTTACAAGAAAAATGGTAAATTTGGTGTGCACTTTTTGCGCTTTCTCATTTAGTATATATCGCCGATCTTTCGTGAAACAGCACTTCAAGTTTTTTATTAGATGTGATGACGTCTTCCTCGCTTTTGAATTCATTAATGTTGAAACAAAACGTTTCGTAAGTTTCTAAATTGTCTGTTGGCCTAAATGAGAGGAATAATTCATAGCAACTAACACTTCAATTGTGGTGTACCTTTTGCGACAAGCAAGCATTTTGGCAGTAAGAATAATATTGAATATATTTGAGCAATAATAGTGATATATTCTAGTGAATCACACTACTAGCTATCTAATCTGCTAGAAATGCTGCCCGCGCGTTGGTTCATGGTTAAAATAAGTTTACCAGTGGGAGAAGACAAAACACGTAAGAAAATATACACCGACATCGGATCTGTGTCTGTGCATTACTTCTTACGTTTTTTGTCTTTTTGCGAAGGTAAATCTAACGTAGCTATCGACCATTTTTTAGCTATCAAATCAAAAGAAGGCGACATGTCCTGCAGCTGTCGGTGCAAGACATATCACCTTTGAAGAACTCGGGACACTGCACCAGTCTCTTAACGCATCAGAAACGTTAGCCGGCAATCAGGACGACGCAGAACACACAAGCGCGAGGAATGCACTAATGCCACGAAAACACAGACAAAGGCGATCACGCACACTAACTACGATAAATTAGTACTCGAGAGCAAGAACGGGAGCCCACCTTCATGGTTACGCTGCTGGAAAATGAAATTCTCGGCGGCCCTTTGGATAGTGCAGCGCACTTTGGTAGCTGCTGGCTTGCCATCCCACAGTGCTGCTCCTCTTTTATACCAGCTGCCCGAGAGGGCCTCCGTCCACGGCAGGTTGCAAAACAAGAAGAGGTTCAACAGTGACGAGTTCTCTCAGTCGGTGGGCTTACGAACAAAAACAGCAACAAACAAGAGCACCGGGAAAAGCCATCGCAGTGCACCGAGTGCTTCCCTCCTTTCACTTTCACTCTGCACTCTTTCGATTCCTTTTCATTGCGAGAGAGTGTCAACCCACTCATCGTTTTCTTGGTTCACTTCTCTTCCTTTGTGCGCGGAGGGGTGAGCGCGGAGGGTCACATGCTTCTCTCGGCCTTGAGGTCAGAAGAGTGATAAGATGTGTCTCGAGCGTTTGCGACGAGTGGCTTTTTACGCTCGTTTCTGTCGCAAAAGTTGATTAGGTTTAGCAGTACATCTGCGGCTGAAATATATATATCAAACACTGAACACCTACAAAAACAGCGTGTCTCCATCTTCTTCGTATGGGTGCTTTATTTTGTAGTATCAAAATACCTGAAGTGGCGCAGTATACACAGACGAGATAAGAAAACACTACACAGTGGTACTCAATGTGGTGCTTCTGCTTGCGATTCTTTTCTTTGCAATTTGGCATTTGAACTGGTAGGTCCACTTCTACAAATGCGTTTCGTGTGTTCGCGTGTGTGTGTACATGCTTTGTTGATGAGCGCGCTTACAGCATTTGTAAGTTGATTTTTAAATGCAAGAGATACCACCACCGTGCCTTGTTGTTCAAGAGAAGAGTAGCTCCTCCAAATTCTTTATTCCTGGGGTATCAAGCTGCTTAATTTTTTCCTGGAATAGCGAAAAAAACTATTTAATGCAAAAGAAGGGCTAAAAAGGGGATATGATTGGTGGAGGTCAATGGAAGAAGGTTTCTCTCGAAGGGTATTTCCCGTCCGTATAACTTGGTGATAAAAGTGCAATGCAAGGGCACCAGTTGTTCAGACCATCCGGCGACTGTGCAACACACTGTAACCATGCTGCTCATGCTACTAGCCACGTGTACCCGTTCGTACTAAAATATTTGAATGGAAAGTGCTACGTCATCATTGCAGAAGCCATCACACCAGGAGAAGCTTTCAAGGAAAGCTGATATTGTGGTCAATGAGTTTGTGGCCCGAATCTGCAAAGTAATGACTAAAAAAATCAGCAACCATTGCCCACTCATAGCCCTGTTGGTTACATGTGGGGAAGTGAAGCTTGACGTGTGTGTGCCTGGCATATTTCTTCTCTTTCTCATTTTTTCTATTCTGTCACGTTGTACTTCCGCCGCGGGGGTCTGGTGGCTAAGGTACACGGCTCCTGACCCTAGGTAGCTTAATCGAATCCCGGCTGCGGTGGCTACATTTTCGATGCAGGCGAAAATGCTGTAGGCCCGTGTGCTCAGATTTGTGTGCATGTTAAAAAACCTTTATGTGATCGAAATTTCTGAAGTTTTCTACTGCGGCGTCTCTCATATTCATTTGGTGGTTTGGGGACGTTCAATCCCGCATATCTATAACGTTGTAGAATGCTCTCTCCTAACTGTTTGCTTCCCCCATGCCAGGAACTTGGCCTTCCATAGGGTGCGGAGCTGCACAACACTGTAGTTTTCACGGGCAACAACAAATGATGTGTTCTTATCAAGGCAACTAAGAAATTCGGCAACGTGAATTCACAAGTTACCTAAAAAAAGTTAAAATTGCCATATCAAAGATGGAGACCACCGACAAGCGCTCAATCAAGAAAGCATCGGTTATTGGAAAACGACTCACACAAATACACATGTGATCGGCGCCCACTCAAGGGCCTCATATTTTTTGACTAGGCGGGAACGTGCTCTTGCATACGACTCCACCTTATTCTGAAAGTTACGGCAGGCTTCCTTTGAAGATGCGCGACTGGAGACATACAAGATACACATGTCACCCTCGTACAGGCCTCAAATATTAAAGCGTACCAGTAAATACATACGCAAAGAGCAATATACTGCGCAAAATTAGATGAATTTGAACATTGATTTCTACGAAGTTCTAGTGTAATCAGTTAAAAAGGACGAAGCTCGCCTATGTTCGCAGCAAAAATTGTATTGGCGCTTCGCAAAAACTATTTATTACTTCTGAGTGAAAAAAAAACTAAAATTGTCAATTTTAGTGATGGAAAATTCATCCGGAAATCTTCCTGACATTCATTGGCAGGAGGTACTCCCCTGTGAGCTTCACTAAATTTTTATGGGCGATTGAATGGCTATCGACTATTCACTGCTGGCAACCCTCTCATGAACGTTGCGCTAAATTGACGCTGAATAAGTTTTCTCGACAAATGGTGTGAGGTGGTTTAGTGTCGTCGTCCACACCAGCTGCTGCTTTCGTAAGGCCCACACAGTGTCACTGATTGACTTCTGAACAACCAAACTGCATAGGCACAATAGCGCAAGCGAGAAGCATAGAGGAAAGTTTCGTGACAACCTCTTCAAGTACAGATAAATTCAATGACGTACAATCCCCTTGGAAGCTGCCTAAGTATATTAAAAGACGCACTTTAAAGAATGTTGACTCTTATCATTGTTCAATTTCACGTTAGAATAAAACAGCCACCACAGAACAATTCAGTACATTCTGAGCCAGTGGGGTGTGCGTAGAAATGAATAGGATGCTGCCAAAGCGAATCCCATGGACTGCCAAACAAAAGAAAAATCTCGATTCTTTAACAGGTGCTTTTGCCATACCATCTCGATCAATCACCGTCAAGTTCAAGACATCACAAGTCACAACATCTACGGGATCCGAGCTCGCCACTCTTCGAGCCGCTGTGGAGTTTGTTACGCAAGAATCTCCTAGTAGATGGGCCATATTCTGCAACTCCAAGGCAGCTCTTCAATGCGTGCGAAGTCTACGACGTGGAAACTATCACTAAATGTTGTATCGTATTAATGAAATTTGTCATCGCGCCGCTGATCAAGGACACGACATTGTTTTACAAGGGTTGCCGGGCCACTGTGGCATCAGTGGTAACCACCTCGCCGACGACGCTGCCCGATGTGCCCACGATGGAGCGCCCACACTGGTGATAACCTTGTCAAGAATAGACGCAGCTAGAGAACTTCGTCACATCGCGCATAATGCCACGCTTGCGCACTGGAATTCTCCACTTGACTCCAATCATCGCCCTAAGAACCTTAAGTCATTACTCCAGAAACAACTGCCATCCAAGGTTTCTCGACGTGACGCGACAATGCTGTGGCGGCTGTGGACTGGGTTAGCGTTTACTAAGTCATTCAGCCATAGCGTTGGCATGACAGAATCATCCATGTGTGAAAGCTGCAACTGTATAGAGACTGTTGAACATCTCTTGTGCCACTGTGCCCAATTTGGTGAAGATCGCTGGACTCTCCAGTGTGCCTTGAATAGACTCGATGACCGGCCATTTAATGAAGCAAAGATCTTAGCCTGGTCGCGCAGCACATCAGCTCAGAAAGCCACACGAGCCCTCCTGAGATACTTGACAGCAACTTCATTGAGGGACCGCCTGTGAAACTCGGCATTGTGTGTGTGTGATGTGACATGTGTCTATCCTTCTCTCCCTTTTTTACTCCCCTCTCCCCCTCCCCATGTGTAGGGTATCAAACTGGACGCATAGTCTAGTTAACCTCCCTACCTTTCCTACATTTCTTCTCTCTCTCTCTCTCTCTCTCTCTCTCTCTTTCTCGATTCTTAAGCAATTATTGCTGCATGTTTTCGTGAAAAAACATAGAAAACAAAACTAAAGCTTTCATGCTAGGGCTAACCCTTTAAAAATCTTAACATATTCTTGGTTAGTAAACGCAGGGTAGGTATAAACCCATGTGACCTTATAAAAAATCAGAATTCTTGCATAAGCTATTCAAAGGGTCGATTTAGTTCAAAACCTGTGCCCTTGCGCGTTGGGACTTATTTGAAATGCGTGAGTTCAGCTAGGCTTTCACTATCTTGTATTACAAGAGCCAAACATTTTGCCCTTATCCTTCGATCTCAATTTTAGTGGAGCAAGAAGTAATGCTACGCAGAGCGAAAGGTAACAAAAAACGAGGACGTTCATGCACATCATTGTTATTTAATTTTGGGCAGGTCACGGAGAAGCATGGCCTTAGGAATACAAAACATTTAGTGGAGCTGAAAAATTTGTAATAAAGAGGTATGCCTGAGGCACATATACTGAAGTTGTCACCAGGAATTGTCAGCATTTCGATGGTATTCAACAACAAAAACAAACAAAAGAAGGCTGAGGACTGAGATTTACTATATACGGTGTTATAGTGAATAACATACGCCAACCACATTTTATTAGGCCTCATACGAAGAATGCATAAAACGCCGGAAGCGTAGTTGAAGTGTGGTTACGTGCACTTCATGAAAGAAAATGTGTCTATAAATGGTATTTCATAACTTCACATGAGTTAGTAAACACATAATACTTGCCTGCCCTCAATGAAGAGTGACAGAGGCGGACGGATGAACTTGTACGATAAAGATAGCCGCTCGTTTTCAGCAGTTTTAACTGGTTATTCCACGACCACGGAGCTATTTGTGGATCGATCTTACTTGAGGTCCATCTTGCTAGGAAGCGCAGCCACTATTACAAAGAACACACAACACAAGCGCTTAAACTCAACTAAACGTTTATTACAAACGTCAGAGTTTATAAAGGGGGTGAAAAAAGAAAAAGAATAAAAAATGGTAGACAACAAAAAGCACACGTGCCAGTCCCGTACATTACTATCCGTTATTGTCTATCACCCCTTCCAAAAAACATAGTTCGTTCCACGTGAGCGAGATAGAGGGTGCACTAACACAATCAAAATCATCGCGTGTCATTTCAGCCGCTTCTACTATCAAACGGGTTAAAAAATCTCTGTCCCGATACAGCACGCACGTGTTTTCGAAATAAGGCACATAACCGCACTGCTTACAGTGGATCGCTAAGTGTAAATCGGTACCCTTCTGCACTTTATTGTGGTGCTCTTTTAGCCTTTCATTAATGCATCTTTCGGTTGTTCCCACATGAACAAGACCACATCACAAGGGCACTCTGTAAACAACGGACTGTGCACACTCAACATATTTATTGCGATGCTTAATTTGGCAACCTTTTTTTTTTCTTTTGAAACAGGACAAGTTTGGTGACATATTCTCGACAGCTTTTCAGGAGCAGATATAACCACTTTGACGCCCACCTTATTACCAATCTTTTTAAGATTGTGTGCCACACTATGGATATAGGGGACCACGGCCGTTTTACGCTGCTGCAGGGAAGTGTTAATACTTGACTTGAGGTCAATTGAGTACGGAATCGATGACATGCTTGACGCATGTTCGCCCTGAAGCGCATTGTTTCGTTCTTCCGTTGTCATCGTCTACCGCCATACTTCGGTTTCTTCCAATCAACCCTCTAGTTTTTCAGCACAAAATACCTAATTAGATAGCGTGTATACCCGGCTCACTAATTGGGGCCCTTGCACAACAAAAATTGTTCACTTTTTCGTTAGGTCGTGATATTAGATTACCCGTGCTCAGATTACTAAAAACTAGGGCGTTGTCGAACAGAGATACGAGAAATATTTACGTCTCTCAACTTGATTTCTTTGTGCTTCTTGCTCTGGAGTTACAGAATCGAGACAAGCAGTACGATAGCTTAGTTTGATCTTATTGGGTATTCACAGGATGACGTTACATATATGCAAAAATGAGCTATCCCAACCTAGATTAAACCTTTAATAATGAAAGTGTGCCAAAACCGTCCCCGTTTTGAATAGCACCCATAACTAACGTTTAGCTATGTATAAAACGTACAAACGCTGTAGCTGTAACGATACTTTTAGTAAACATCTCTTAGTCTCTTTAAATTAATCTAGTGTTCAATCCCAGCACCGGCAGCCACACTTCGACATAGGAGAGGAAAGGAAAAAAATGAAAAAAAAAAGTTATGGGTTCAGTCATTTTCGTCGGACCGAAGTTTCTTGAAGAGAGGCGTTTCGCAACATTTCTGAAATACTACTGAATGATTTCGCGTGCCACCGGGGTATTGTAACCAGGAAAATTGATAAACTTCACTCGGAGACTGTCTTAACTGGAAGCGCTGATCGCGAGATGTTGGTGCTAGCACTGTGAGTCTTCGTTTGTATTCGCCGCCCGCTTTTCTATCCCACGGGCCTCCTTTTCAAAAGCTACTTGCGTGCGTGAATTCCGTTCCACAAGAATCGTTGCGAAATCTTCTGGGTCGGTCGTTAAACTAGACGCCCCGGCAAAGCACTGCTGCTTGTTGTTCTAGGTGTTTATTCCTGCCTTGTTTTCGAAAGCGAAAACATACTGATATTTTCTGTTGGTGGCGAATTCTTGTTGTACACCAACCGAATGAATACATGAATACATCAGTACGTTGCTGCAAACCAGAAATCCGCGCACTGCAGAATAGGTTTTCTTCTATCGTGCAGGCTTTACTTTTATTACTTTTATCATGTACATCCTCATAAGTTTTTCAACTTGAACTTCTGGTTGGCATGTTTCTTAAAATTTAGTAGTTCTTCATATCTGCGTTAGGTGTCGCTATGCACATGTGATTAAGTCAACGTTGCGGGCTTCGACTGCGAAAGTCCACCCATCATTGTTCTTCGCAAACACCACCAAGAACCTGGCTGAATCAGTGTGAAGTTTTTATTGATCATTTGGTGAACTTGATGTCTTTGTAAGCGTCAAATGCCTGAGTAATGAAGTGTTGCTTGATGTATTTGTCTCGTTGATATGATTTCCACTGCTGCACGAACTCTTTTGGCAAGCTCTGAAAATAAAAAGAGCTGATGTTATGGACGGTAGACACGAGGAAACGTTTTTATGCTTCTATAGGCGTCAGCGCAAAGCTGTACTACACAAACCTTTCTTCCTAAAGAGCTGGAGGTTCGATAAAGCCTAGAAAATTGAAATGCAATTTTACATGACCCGCTTTTCTATCACATAACAATAAAACGTAATAAAACAGTGGCGTCTTCTGCAAAACATATCACTTTTTCTATAGCAACATCTTCATTCGCGTGCCTCTTTTCCCGCCCCAGAATTGATTGTCTTGCTCATGATTTCTGTGCTTTTATTGGACAAGTATAAGAGGCCGCATTGTTGCCTTGACGCTGAGGGCCTACTCTTTTTACGTGCCTTTTGAGCCTCCCTCCTTGTTGATGAACCCACTGTCACTTGAGAACTCTGTAATTGAGCAATAGGGTTGCTGTGGCAGCTTTCTTTACCGATACAATTTATAGTTCACCTTTTTTACTGCAAAAAATTTCAAAAGTTATTACTTTTACTTGTGAAATAGGAACTTCAGAAGTGGCGACGCAAAAACAACGCCGCCCTATATTGAATTGGCTTCCTTTTCCTGTTGCCCCATAATTGAAATCTCGGTAAATGCGTTCCAAGAAGCTAACAAATGGTTCAAATGTTTTTCAAATATTACCTACTCTTATCCAAGAAGGCCGACGCCCGCATGGCCCACACCCGCAGCATTCCCGAAAGAAGACTGTCCGAATCCGCCCTGGTGTCCGGCGGCGCCTCCCTGGAAACCGGAGGAACCCTGCTGTTGGCCAGTGCCGAAGCTCTTGCTGTCACTGGCAGAGAAGCCTGAGTTGTGGTTGTATCCCTGGTTGTTGTTGTAGGCATTCACGTTCCTGTGGGAAGAACCCCCAGCAAAAGCACCGGATCCTTGGTTGTGTCCAGCGGCACCGCCCCTGTATCCAGACTGATGGCCTCCTGCCGAAGACCCATAGCCGGACTGGAAGCCACCGCCAACTCCATGGCCAAGGCCGACTCCATGGCCAAGGCCGACTCCATGCCCTAGGCCTACTCCATGCCCAAGGCCTCCTCCAACCAAGGCAGGGTTGCCAACGACTCCACCACCGACAAGACCTGGGCCTCCAAGTCCAGCACCCACAAGGCCAGGACCAACTCCAGCGCCGTAACCACCAAGGCCTCCGAGCACGCCGCCGCGTCCCTCCACGTCCTTTTTATCTTCTTTTTTCTCGTCCTTCTTAGCAACCTCTTCGGCGAACGCCACGGAAGCCACAAGGGTGAAGAGAGCAATGGCTGCGAATACCTGCGCGTAACGATAAAAAAGCGAGGATTGAAGTACGCAATTGTAACTCGGGGTACCAAGCCACTTTCTTGCCAAAACACAAGATGCTTTTTGATGTAACTATCCAGCACTACTCGGCCAGCTAGTCAAACAGTATTAAAAATTTAACCGTAAATTCAGACAAGGACACCTTACGTAACTACATCCCCACTTACTACAAAATACAGCTTTAATATACAAGAAAGAACACATATACCCTAAATAAATACAGTATATATTTTAGAAAGAGGTGGCCCCTTTCCAGAAAGAGTGAATGATAACTAACAAAAGCGAATTCCTTATATAAAATGTAATGCTTCCGCAAGTTAACCTAGAGAGTAAAAGCTTCGTCTAGTTTTTAAGTTGTCATACTGGCAAGTTTTTCTCAGAGCGTGTACACAGTAAAAAGGACGGAGAAGCTGATCCGCGAGATTAATGATGCGGAAAGAATTCAATTACGGGATGAAAACCATGCAAGCTTCGTATCTGTTGCTTTATGACAGTGAAAACTTGATTACCTGGCCGGGCTTTAGGGCAGTAGAAGACCCGTCGCACGTGCTTTGGCTACTAATAAATTTATGGGGCCTGTCTTATCTTTCTGTGTATTATGGTCTTTTTTCTACACAGATACTTGGCAACTCTGCAAAACTTGAAATTGAGAGCTCTTTGCCGCTGCGCTGCCCTTTATTTTTATGTTCTCGCACTGGAAAAGCTTGCCAGTATGACGCAAGTAAAGGTGGGGTACGGTCGCGATGTTAGAATAAAAAATCCCTGCTTGAAAAGCGTGGTTGACAACGATACAAGGCACATTGCAAAGCTACTGCGTCAGTGGTATTGCCTTGTAAAATGACTGGTTTGCTCTCAAGGTTGCGTTTATGCAGCAACTTCTCAGCCCAACTATATTCGCAAACACGGCAATGAAATGCAATACAATATGCTCGTGTTACAAGAAACGAACTACACTATGGGTTGTGCTACAAAAGTACTGGGCTACTTCGCTACCAATGTCGACCCTGCGACCATCGAACAACGCCGTAATTAGTGACGGCTGATCACTTATATTTGACTATAGGCAGTAGTGTACCAACTATTTCGCGAGGAGGGTGGCAAACCTACCTCACTTGTCCTTGTCAGCCGGGATATATATATATATATATATTGATTGATTGATTGATTGATTGATTGATTGATATGTGGTGTTTAACGTCCCAAAACCACTATATGATTATGAGAGATGCCGTAGTGGAGGGCTCCGGAAATTTCGACCACCTGGGGTTCTTTAACGTGCACCCAAATCTGAGCACACGGGCCTACAACATTTCCGCCTTCATCGGAAATGCAGCCGCCGCAGCCGGGATTCGAACCCGCAACCTGCAGGTCAGCAGCCGAGTACCTTAGCCACTAGACCACCGCGGCGGGGATATATATATATATATATATATATATATATATATATATATATATATAATTATATATATATATATATATATATATATATATATATATATATATATATATATATAAACCTACAAGAAAAATCATCACAGCGGCAATGTTGGCGAAATTTCACTATGTTGCAACATAGCCTCGCAACAATTTCATTTGCGATGGAAAACTACGCCTTGTTGGTTTCCCCAGCGTGCAGCAAAAAGTGACCACTGTCGAAATTGGGGGGCTCAGCTCCCCCCACCCCCAACTTTTCTCTGTTGGGAGGAGGGGGGGGGGGCTTGCGCCTTTTTTGCCAGTCCGGCTGATACACCTATGACTTCAGAGATAGTGATGAGTTCTCTCAATACATGTACTTTTTCCTTGTTTTTTTTCATTCAAACCCCGCAACAAAAAGTAAAATACCTCAAGTCAAGAAATATTTTCTAGTTCACTGGCTGGATACATTCTTTGACAACAAGAACAACGCGAAATCACATGATAGTCTACATACCTTCATGGTTTGCGATGAGGCTGCACAATAGCACAGTACGTTTTTAAATGAAACGACTAGCTTGAGTCCTTGGCAGCTACTGCGTTGTCATATGGCTGTGCGTCCCACCTTTTATACCTCCTTTATAGGAAGCTAATGTGCGTCACATAAATAAACAAACAAAATGCTGTAGGCAGTCACCATTCAGGACACCACTGTATTTCAGTATCTATGGCAACTAAGACAAGCGGGTTTGACCAGCCTTCACCCTCCGGACGTTCTCTTTCACAAAGTTGCTTGCGAAGCTCTTATCGCCAGCAACATCTACGAAAGGAAATATACTCTCTTTCTCTCACTGTTTGTCACCACTCTCCTTCAATCGCTCAGGCTTCCACCGTCGACAGCGGTTTTCCCCGTCCTTGAAGCCAAAAAAACCGCGCGGCATCTACCGATAAGCCGGCACAACATCACGTTTACCGCCAGATATCTGTTTAAAGCTTGCAATGGCTTAGAAATCTTTCATTGCGGAGCCATTTCAAATCATACCCACTTTTTGGAAACGTCTGTCACGTACTTCCAGTTATTCATTATACTGCGTGCGTAGAACTGTGCAATATATGTGATGCACGCAACTCCCTCTTACATAGGAAAAACATATGTTGCAAATATTGCGAAGCTTCAAAGAAACGAGCTAATAAGGGTGCAAGAGTAAACATAAAATATTCACTTGCTTCATAGAGCCCTGCAGCAAAATGCGGAACAGGTTAAAATGCCCTGACACATTGTTCCCATAAAGTTAAACTAGCCTATTGTGCGCGAGAAAAACGGGATATGGAATATAGTATAGTCACGTGAAGTTCCCTTGTGCTTCACGAAATAAGCCTGGAACTAGTACTACACGTTGCAACAAGTTTGAAAAGAGTATCCACACATCCTGTTATTGTAGCACCCACAAAACTTAATTTATGCATAACAACCTATATAGAGTCTATAATTACAGATTTTCTTGACGCCCCTATAAAACTCTTCAGGGCGCTCAATGCACTTACAATAGTTCTCCTTTTTAAGGCCCGGTTCTAATAGTCTTCAAGTGGAAGTAGTGTTTAGTCAAGTGCGGGCAATTCATCCCCTATTTTTCGCCCATGTCAAGCAGCCGTCACGCGATTCATCAAGATTGTGTTCGATATGCTATGATACTGAGTGGAAGCACACCGCACTTTCAAAGTCCTGTATTTATGAAAACAAAAACGAGTATAGGCAGCGCCTACAAGCACTTTGTTTATTGTATCTATAGTGAAGGCAGGACGCCCATTGAAATGTTTAATGATACTTTTTGAACAACCAAATTTTAGTCACAACTAGATGTACGTGGAATAATGACCATACTTTAGCTTTATGTAATATGGAGAAGTCCATAAAACTAGGAAGAAAAGTTTCGGTCCTTCGAAATCTAAAATTGTGACATTGTGACACGTAGTAGATACTGTGGCTTTGAATTCAACTATAGCCCACGCCAGTACATGTCAAAAAGTATTCAGGGCTGCCCGGACATGACGCCTCTGATGACATCATGATCCAGGCCATGTAGACAATCACGTGAAGGCGGGACACAAAAAATGTCGTAGCAACGTCGTAACACCACGATATGATAAAAAAGGACCGTAGTGGAGGTCTCTGGAAATATCGACCACATCAGTGTTCCTTACCGTGCACATAAACATCAGAACATGAGCCTCAATCATTTCATCTCCATTAAAATGCAGCTGCCGTGGCTAGGCTTCGAACCAGTGTCCTTCCGCTCAGAAATCAAGCAGCACAATCAGTAGACCGCCATAGCTGATTCAAGCTATGGCAGGCTGCCAATATGCAAAGGCTTGGAGAACAAATGCAGTAATCGTGCGAGCAGGCCGAACAAAAAATTTGTGAGAAGACGATCAGTGCCATCTGCCGTATAAAGCAGCAGATAACGCAAGCAAACCACTCTGTCCCTGCAACAGTACTATTAACCAAGGCCATCTTACGTGCCGCTTGGTACGTACAATGTGACCGACTGTTAGATCTTTTGTTACGTGTACGGTGCAGCGTGTAGCCTCGTCAAAATAAAATTAAGAACGTCACTACACGGGACTACTTCAGGGTGGTAGCAATAAAGTGCATACCTGATACAAAACCTCATCTTTGTAAAATGCGAAAAAAAAAGCAACGCTGTTTTTACTCATTTATCTCGTTGTAAGCTTCTCTAATTGTGGTTTAACGCCGTGACACCTTCATTGGTTGGAATTGATGGCGACATTCAACCATATGCCTAGCGACAAGAGGAACTTGAATTTTGTTGTTAGATCATAATGTTTGTAAAATGGGTTTTCATTAAGTTAACTTATACCTAATATCGAACACTTTTAGTAAAAAATCAATTAGATTATAAAAACAATATAGAAACAGTCACGCAAAATCTTATATATCTCCATAAGTGTGCTGATATTGGGCGTAACTTGCTACGTGCGTCAATTTTTGTGAGTGGTAGTAGAAATTCCACACTTTCAGTGAATGCCACGCTTGGTAAATTGTTCGCAACTGAGTTGCTTGGAATGTCATAGTGCTTATGACTCGGCTGACACAAACTTTATCATAAATCTCTTCGGCCTTCCCAAGCAACCCGTATTCGCCAAATAAAAGTGCACGATAACGTTTATAGACAATGCTCAAGTGAGAAGCTTGTGAATCGCTCAGATTTCGCACTTTACTGCGAGCGGTTGCGGGTATATAATAGTCAATGAAGCTGTTATAAAAATGTTAAGTCTGACGAAGTAGAACTTATAGGGTACCATAGTTTAAACTACCGCTGTCATTTGATGCGCTACATTTAAAATTTGGGCGCTAAGATTTCATTTTTATCACCGGAACAAGTGGGTAAATCTCCCAAAAGTTTACTGTCGGAGTGCGTGTATGTCGTTGGTGCGACGTCACTCATTTAAGTCCTCTTTCTACAGGTAGTATGGTTGGCTGTTTCAATTAGCTGAGAGGCTGCCGAAGAAGTGACTTACGCATTTAATATGGTCCTTCTAGCTAGAGTAAATATGATACAATGTTTAAAATATTTATAAATCAATCTATTCCGGTTGGTAACCTCCACAAAACATGCCGATATCTTTAGTGAAGGCTCGTGTGACCTCCTTCACCTGCAATTTCCATTATCTCTTTCAAAGGCGCCGGGTAGTCGGTGGTTACAAACAGTGGTTAACATCCCTGTTTTTTCCTGTATTTTTCCAGTCCTGTGATGAGTGGCAGCCATGAAGAATACGCAGGTTGCACTGGCAGAAGCGTTTTCTATTAGAAAATGCCTCTGAATTGTTGTACTGTGACGTATGTGTGATCTTCAGGTGTTAGACATAGGTGACAGTAGCTGTACTCGACAATATTTCAAAGGTTTCGTTTACGTCAGCAATTTCTACAGCGCCTCTCGCTGCGCGCGCTACTCAAGGACATACACCCACTCCGACAGTACCCACTCCGACAGCCAGGATACACATACACCCACTCCGACAGCCAGGATCGATCTTCAGGTGTTAGACATAGGTGACAGTAGCTGTACCCGACAATATTTCAAAGGTTTCGTTTACCTCAGCAATTTCTACAGCGCCTCTCGCTGCGCGCGCTTCTCAATGACATACACTCACTACTAGCCAGGATCCGGTCAAATGCTTTCTCTGGGAGTTCATTGATTGATTTATTGATTGATTGTTTGATTGATTGATTTATATGTCAGGTTGAACCTCCCGAAACCACTATATGATTATGACAGACGCTTAGGGGAGGGCTTCAGAAATTTCGAACACGTAGGGTTCTTTATCACGCTCCCAAAACTCAGCACACGGGCTGACAGCATTTTCGCCTGCGTTGAAAATGCCGCCGCCGCCGTGTGGATTCGATCCCGCGAACTGTGGGTCAGCAGCTGAGTACCTTAGTCACTAGACCACCGCGGCGGGGCTTCCTCTGGTGAAAGCGATAGACTGTAGATGTTCGTTACCACCTGATTACCCTGTATGTATGAAACATTGATAATGGCAACAGTTTTCTTGCTTTCCGCTGTGATACAGTTTCCTTGCTTCCCGTCATTCATTTACTCGTGATATACATTAGTCCTCCTCCTCTATAAAGGCCCCGACGCGGTGGTCTAGTGGCTAAGGTACTAAGCTACTGACCCGCAGGTTGCGGGATCGAATCTCGGCTGTGGCGGCTGCATTTTCGATGGAGGCGAAAATGCTGTAGACCCATGTACTCAGATTTGGGTGCATGTTAAAGAACCCCAGGTGGTCTAAATTTTCGAAGCCTTCCACGGCGGCGTCTCTCATAATCATATGTTAGTTTTGGGACGCCAAACCCCACATATCAATTGATCCTCTACCTAGAACTACATCCGAAAGATTTTCTTTCAATGATTGACGCGTTTCGAAACTATGACGAAATATTTTCAGCAGTTTCAAGGCAAGCAGTGCGTGCACATATATGGTATGTGCATGTGTTTGGATGTGTGTGCGCATGTGGTGTGTGGACGCGATTATGCTGTGTGTGTATGTGTACGGTGCGTGTGCGTGCACGTGTGGTGTGCATGTGTGCTTGCGTGCGTATGCGCGTGGTCAAGTGTGGCGTGTGTGTGTGTGCGTACGTGCGTGTGGGAGGTGTAATATATTTACTGGCACTGATCGAGTGCATGTATATTGCAGCCCAGGGTAAGCACCAAGACACAGCAAATGAGACACAACACAAAAGAAACAAAACACGACACACTTCCACGAGAAGTACCACGATGTGTCACCCTTGACTGTTTTCCATGAACTGATTAGATTTGATTGATGTGTGAGGTTTATTGTTTGAAAACCACCATACGAATATGAGAGGCGCCGTATTGGAGGAATCCGGAAATTTAGACGAGCTGGGCTTTTTTACCGTGCACCTAAATTTGAGCAAATGGGCCTACAGCACTTTCACCTCCATTGAAAATGCAGCCGCCGTAGCCGGAATTCAATACCGCGACCTGCGGCTCAGCAGCCGAGTACCTTAGCCATTTGACCACCATGGCAGGGCCGCTTTCAATGAA